GAGGGAGGGAGGGAGGGAAGGAAGGAAGGAAGGAAGGAAGGAAGGAAACAAAAAGAAAGAAAGAAAGAGAGAGAGAGAAAGAAAAGAAAGAAAGAGAGAGGCAAAAAAAAAGGCATTTATTTAAAAAGCATAAGGAAAAATTTTTAAAGAACCACATGTAAAATGTAGAGGTAAGTGGAGGTGGGGGAAGGTGTCAAGGTCATGGTTGCATTAAGAATGAAATTCCCTTTAATGAGCCTCAGGTCTTGCTGCTGGTTGTGTCACTAGAACTGACTGGAGAAAGGAGATTGGCCTGTTAGTGATGGGAATGTAATTGTGGACAGTCAGGACAAAATTCTACCTGTGTATTGTGTACTCTCTCCTGGGTTGCTCTGTGCTACTGACAGTGTATAAGAATTCAAAGGGACACAACAGTCCTTCAGACTCTCCTTTAACAAATAGGTGGCAGTGTTATATCCTGACCCAATAAATGACCTTTATAAATCGTCCACTTAACAAAATAAAACTGTTCCAATGATCGATAGGCACTTGCCGTCCAGAACAGATGGTGGCTCTGCTGATAAAACTTTAAAAGCCTTCTCTGAAACTGTGGACTACAGATTAATTCACTGTCTGGTGGGAGCTGGTTTAGGCTTTAGTGCAGATGAAAGCAGGAAGACTGTCTCTCAGACTCTATTTGTGTCATTCTGTAACTTGCACTGTCCCTGAGAAAAGGACCTCTTGAATCAAGCCCGCTGCAAACATGATGCCAAGGGGTCCTCTGGCACATCGGAGCCAAAGCACAGAAATGTGTTATTCAAAGACAACAGAGAGGTGGCCTGGCTTCTGGGAATCATTTTCCATGAAAAACTCAATATAGAAATAAATCACCACAAAATGTGGTTATACCACATTTTGGTAGCAAGTAAGAGAATTGATAAAGACAAGTAGAGAGAAAGTATTTATACTCTTTAAAGATCTGATTCAAGATAATCTGGCTGATTTCTATAATGTGGGAAATCTTGCTAAATTAATTCAGAAAATATAAGTTAATTACAGGGCACCAAAAATGCTTCTCTGGGAACCCTGTAGTTTAATTTTAAGCAGTGATTTTATCACAGGCTGTTGTGATCATTGTGAATGACTGATTAAAATGTAAAAAGGTGGACTAAAATCAACTGTATCAAGAGTGAGGCCCAGGAACTCAGGAATACTGAGTCCTTCCAAGAAGCTTGAGTCATAGAATACAGGAGCCAACAGCAAACCCCTGCTGAAACTCCCTGGTAATTTGGCAGTGCAACAATTAAGCTTCTTTACAGTCAGCAGAGAGCCCCAGCACTCAGACAGCTCCTTCAGCACCCAATAAACCACGCTTGATAAGGAAATTTATAGAAGCAAACATGGAATTTTATGAGGACTGAGTAATGTATTTATTTCAGTACATTAATGCATCATTGAACTGAATCCACAACGATTCAGTCTATTTTATCTCAAAAGCAGACTGACTCTGGGTTATAGTGCTCAGATTCTATCTGTCCTTGTTATTCAGAATTCCAGTACCCATAGTCAAAGGGCAAGTGTCATTTGGATGATGAAATGATGACTATGGAGGTGGTTGCTACCTAGCAACACCAATACACTGGCCACCAAAATATAAAAGTGTCATCCTGATAACAAGTTAGTTCAGCCTCATACCACAGAGGGGAATAGCATATTAGCTGTAGGCCACCTCTCTTTAATTTTTAAATGTTTTACATGTGGGGTTTTTTCTCCCCAAGAGATAGAATCCTAACCTTCCTGTTATTTTCTGAATAAAAAATAAAATAATTTGTACTCACTGACCCCAGACCAACATATGGTGATGGTGGTTGTCAGGCATACTGGATGTGAGAAGAAAATAAATCAACCAGCGAATTTAAATTCATTCCCCCCAAAATTCACAAAAGTAATCTTTCCATCAAAGTTTTTTCCTTTCACCAATGACAATAAAGAGATTTTTAATCCTACATTTTATTTTACTTCTTAATTATTAAAATTTAAAAAGCAATAACAAATCATCTGTCAGAAAATTGGGTGACCTAAATAGCGAAAACAACCTTGAAAAAGAAGGACAAAGTTAAAGTTCTTATATTTGCTAACTTCAAAACTTATTACAAAGCAGCAGTCATCAAAATAGTGGATACTAGCATAAAGACCACTGTAACAGAATAGAATCCAAAAATAAACTCTTACATACTTGCTCAAATGATTTTCCGCAAGGCTTCCAAGATTATCCAATGGGGAAAAGGCAGTATTTTTAATAAATGGTGTGGGGAAAACTGGATATCCACATGCAAAAAAAAAAAAATGAAGTTAGACACCTACCTAACTTCATATCCAAAAATTACCTTGTAATAGATGAAATAGCTAAATATAAAACCTAAAACTGCAAAATCTTAGGAGAAAACACAGGGAAAAAAGCTTTGGGACATTGAGTTTGGCAATGATTGTGCAGGTATGACACCAAAAGCAAAGGAAACAAAAAAAATATGGATAAGTTGAAATATTTATGCCTCAAAGGACACAAGGAGTGAAAAGGCAACCCACACAACAGTATGAAATGTTTGAAAATCATGTATCTGATAAGAGATTGATATCCAGAATATATAAAGAACTCCTACAACTCAACAACAACAAACCCCAGTTTTAAAAATAGGCAAAGACCTGATTACCAGCTAGGCTACACAAATGGCCAATAAACACATGAAAATATGCTCAGCATCACCAGCCATTAGGGAAATGCAAATCAAAACACAAGATGCCACCTTATACCTTCACAATGGCCATATTTTTAAAAATGAGAAAGTAAGAAGTGTGGGTGAGGATGTGGAGAAATTAGAGCCCTTGCACATTGCTGTGGAAATGTAAAATGGTACAGCTGCCATGGAAAACAGTATGGTGATTCCTGAAAAAATGAAATGTAGAATTACCACATTATCCAGCAACTCCACCTCAGGGTGTAGTACCTCAAAGAAATGAAAGCAGAGACTTACACAGATATTTGTACACTCGTGTTTATGATAGTTTTATTCACTGTAGTTGAAAATATTCATCAGTGGGTGAATGGATAAACAAAGTACCTCGGAGTATTATGTGCTCTTAAGATGAAAATTATGACACATGCTACAACATGGTTGAATCTCAGAGGCATTATGCCAAGTGAAATAAGCCAATCACAAAAGGACAAATGTTATATGATGCCACTTATGTAAGAGGTTCTTAGCATAGTGAAATTCATAGAGAAAGAAAGTAGAATGGTGGTTTCCAGGGGCTGGGAGGAAGGGGAAATGAAGACATTGTTTAATGGGTTCAGAGTTTCAATCTGGGAAGATGGAAATGTTCTGGAGATGGATGGTAGTGATAGTTGCACAATAATGTGAAAGTACTTAATGCCATGGAATTATACACTTAAAGATGGTTAAAATGGAAAATGTCATGTTGCGTATATTTTGCCACGGTAAAACATTAGGAGCAAAAAATCAGAAATAATGAATGAGTTGTCAAAATATTAGATGGAAATTAAATGTCCAATAATAAGAGAACAGGAATGATTAAACAAATTAAGATTACCCACTCAGTAGGATATTTTTGTAACCATTGATGGTGGCAACATGAAAAATGCCTGTGATACAGTATTAAGTTGGCGGAAAGGGAAGGTAAAATTGCCATATACAATGACTGCAACAATAAATAAGCCTGGTTCTAGAGAAAAACTAAAAAAAAATGTCAAAATACTTTAAAAATTTACATTAGAATGATAAGAGTATTTGCTTTTTTCATCTATTTCCTGCTTGTTTTGGAAAGTAGATGAAATAATTTTTAAAGGAAAATAAATTTATAACCAAAAATGGAAAAAAGGAACAAATAACATTTTAAAATAATTATTAGAATCTCTTTTGGCTATTATCCATAAAATCCAAAATGCTAGATATTTTTTAGGCTTTTGCAAAGTAGTATAAATATTGAGGATGTGAGTAATTATGGTTCCTGAAAAACGCTTCTTCAATTTTACCCTTCAAAAACCATTCAAAGACAGATGCAGTGTAGTCCCAGCTACTTGGAAGCTGAGGCAGGAGGATTGCTTGAGCCCAGCAATTCAAGACCAGCTTGGGCAACATGGCAGGACCCCATCTTTGGAAATATATGGACATTCAAGATTTAGGTTACTGAGCAGAGGACACATATGATAAATACCTCTGAAGAAAAAAACTTTTCAAGGAATGTCATTTATTAATCACTAAGCACAGACAGCTTCTTAGAGACAGAAACCACTTGCTCAGAGAGATGCCTATGTAGCAGACTCACAAATGAGTCTGGGCAAATGAGCAGCCTTTACAACTGTTCTCCAAATGAGGCAGTGGCTTCCCTGGGTTATTCTTAAAACTTAATTCTGCATCTGTCTTCTTTCTTTAGTTTGTCATTAGCTCATTGTCTCTCCCAAGCTCCACCTTGGCACTCCAGGTCCCCCATCACCCATGCAAGGAAAAAGATGCAGAACAATTGGGGACGGACAGGAAGGGACAGGAACTGGGTTCAGATGGTGGTATCTGCTCTTTAAGGTTGAGGATGCTGAAGGTGGACAGTGTTACAAGCACAGCTGCAGCCAAACCTTGGGGAGCTACAGCTCCTCTGCAGACACCCAGAAAACTTTGCACAACAGAGTCAGCTTCACAGAAAAGAGCAGGGCAAGGAGCTTCGGAGGCTGTGCCTTGATGCTCCAAAGTCACCAGATCTAGGGTCCCAAAATTTATCTGCCTTCCCTTCTGATGGGTCCTGTTGTTACCAGTTTCCTTTGAGAATCTTACCCCATCTGTCTTCCAGAGCCCTTATCCACAGCAGACATTGCCACAAAATAGTCTCATAAATTTAGTTCCATTCTAGGATGGAATGGATTCTGGTTTGAAGAAGCTTTCCAATGGTCCAGTTTGCTTCTCTTCTACCCTCTGCCATTTTTGACCATCCTGTTCTCTTTTTAATCCTAGGTGGTTCGAGATCAGATCTCTCACTGCACAGTGAAATTGCGCCAGACCACAGGTCTCATGGAGTATTGCTTGGAGGTGATTAAAGAAAATGATCCTAGTGGCTTTTTGCAGGTAAGAGTTAACTAGTTTCTGCTTCAGATTCTAGATGTCCCATAGGACATAGTCTAGGATGCTTAAGTCAGATTTCCAACAGCCCTGGCTGGGCCTGGGTCCCTCGATAACAGAACCTACCTTCATACTGCAGTGTACGTGGGAGTGCCTGCTAAATTAACTCCACTGACTACTTCTTGGAAGTCTCTGTCACCATGTACCACAAGTCTGAGAGATGCATAGGCTTTTTCTGTTTGTTTGTTTTGCTTCTTTTTATTCTCTGTTTAATCATGAAAACATAATTCTCTGTAAGTTCTTTCAAAGTGGAGTTACTGCCTTGCCTAAGAAGTCGGTCCTTATTTATTAATGTCTCTTGGACAGTTGTGTCAGATGTCTGAATGTCTAAGTGCATAAGATGTTTACCTTCTTGACACCTCCTACTGGCCAGAAACTCAGTGATTTCTCAAATACAGAGATTTCTCATTCTTCAGTGTTAATTGTTTTACTGAGATGCTGCATAAGCTGGATTTTACTTAAGCTTTGATCCCAATGATAAGGAAACTTTTGTTGAGGAACATGTAGATCTCTTCCAAGTCACATTCTACTAAACTGGTCACAAGTGACAGAGGGAGATTGAATATAAAAAATGAAAGAGCTTTCTATCAAAGAATACAGTGATAATCACATGAAGATTATGTGCTTAAAATGTGAGAAATTCCATATGCACCCTCACTAAACTATGTTATGAAACTCATTTCCAAGTTTTGATAGGATGCCCACACTTTAAATTAGAAGGGTTGAGCTATTTATTCTAATAGAAATTAACTAGTTTCCAACATATCACCCTTTAAAGTTGTAGACATGTAGTAAATGTCATAAATAGCATGATCATATATTCAGATTTGTCTTTTAGATCAGTTAACACCTGCTAATTATTTATAGTGCCCCCTGACTCACAAAAGTGTTCAGATTTGCTTGATATCATGGGTCACCCTAGCCTCAGTGGGGTCTTCCTCACCAACTGCACTGAGGCAATCAGGGTATGAGTCCCAAGGCAGTTTGGGAGTAATGGTCCTGGACAGCCGAGGAGCAGTGCTGTGTTTCAAGTGTGGTGGTGTATTTCTTAGGCTGTGGTCTTTTTGATCTGTTTAGATTTCTGACGCCCTCATAAGGAGAGTGCACCTGACTGAGGATCAGTGGGGTAAAGGCACACTCACCCCAAGGATGACCACGGACTTTGACTTGAGTCTGGACAACAGCCCTCTGCTGCAATCCATCCACCAGCTCGACTTCGTGCAGGTGAAAGGTATGTCCTTGCATCTTCCGAGTCAGAGAGCAACATCCTGAGTGGATGCTGGTGCTTGAAGCAGGATCAGTACCCCTTTGGCTAATGTGACAATAATCTGGAGTGGCTCCTAACTTATCATGTAATGAAAATGTCCCCTTATAAATGTGTGACCTACCTTTCAGCAAGCTGGATAAGTTCAGATCAACTCAATGCTTGCCTCTTTGAGAGTCTTAGAGACTTCAAGTGCTCAGCACCAGAGAACAGCTGACCTGAAAAGAGGAAGGCAGAGAGAGCAAAAGATCATCACAATACATAAATAAAATCTTGGCATAGAGAGTAATCCAGCAATATTGATATAAATCAGGGGAGTCCAGAATTGAAATGACTGCTTCCACATGGGTAGAGATAATGAGCAAATGTCTGAGCATGGGTCAGTGGGAATTTGAGAGGATCACAGTTGGCCTGCCAATATTGGCAGAAAAATGCAAGCCTGGAAGGAAAATGGAAATTTGATATAAACTTTAAAATTAGATTAGGTGATTAAGGGATACGGCAAGGCCTCTCTGAGATTATGGGTAGGGACTGAAAATATTTTAAGGAAAATGACTCTTTGAAAGAAAAATAACAACTCAAGCCAACCATGCAACAACATAACATTTTTATGGCAGTGTAAGTAATACCCATTTGAAGAATATTTCTTTTTAACTTTTTGTTTTGAAATACACAAGAAATTACAAAAATAGTAAGAAGTTTTGTCTGCCCTTTACCCAGCTTCCCTTGCTGGTTACATCTTGTAGCTATAATGTACCAAAACCATGAAGCTGACACTGAACAGTGTGTGTATATAATTCTATGCCATCTTATCCTGTGTACAAATTCATATAATCAGCACTGCATTGGGATACAGAACTGTTTAATCACTACAAAGATCTCCCTTCTGCCACCCTGTTAAAGTCATAGCCTCCCCTCCAACACCTCTAATCTCTGGAAACCACTAATCTTTTCTGCATCCCTATAATTTTGTCATTTGCAGATTTTTTAGATTAAAATTGATTTGCTCTTTGCAACACCTAATTTCAGCATCCACATAGTAAATGACTCTTAGCATTCAGTGCTTTAAAAGTTTTGTTTCTTAAGAAAAAGCTACCTGCATCCTTTTATCAAAGAGAATTTTATAAGCCAGCAAGCTTTAGGGCTGTCTTCTCAGGGTCCACATCATGCAGTTAAATGCATTCCAGTACTTGGTCCCAGTACATCTCTCAACTTTTTAATGGATTTTTGCTCTCTTTTATTTTCAACTTTCTCTCTCTCTCTCTCTTTTTTTTTTTTTTTTTTTTTTTTTTTTTTTTTTTTTTTTTTTTTTTTTTTTTTTTTTTTAATATGTGTTGCTTTGGGAAGAAGCCTTCATAAATTTTTAAGTTGTGTATAGATTGGAAGTAAGTATGCTTTGTTACAGTAAGAAAAATGTTTAGCATTTATTGAGTGCTAACCAAACCAGACATTCTCCCAAGTGTTTTACATATAACTCATTTTATTCTTGTAACCCTAGTAGACAGCTGAAGAAACTGAGGCACACAAAGACTGGGTTACTTTCCTGAGCTCACACAGCTATTGAGTGGCAAGGTCAGGATTCAAAGTCAGGGAACATGGCTAGAGAACCAACTCCTACAACTTCTAGTTGGTGCTATAAAGCTAGTGCCACACTGAGCAGCTTCTTCAAGGGATAAGTGAATTCATCCCTTATTATTAACAAATCTACATTTTTGTTGTAGCAATTCTTTCTTGCTGTTTTAAAAAATATTTTTAATACCAATGTGGTAGCCTATAAAATAAACCCCTCCTTTACAAAATATAGAGCCCCAGATAAATCCCCCTGGATCAGCCTCTCTCTTTTCCCAATTCTTTCAATGACATAAAAATCACTGAAAGGTATGTCACAAGTAGCTTGGAGGAAAAAATATGTCACAAAAGAGCAAAGAAAGGCTTTTGGTGGAAGAGGAAAAAATAAGCTAACCCAATTAGCCTTGGTAAGGGGGCAGGAGGAGGGGGCAGTTAGAGGGTAAAAGCCTCAGGGCTTTGAAATGCTTTTTCAGCTGTCAAAACCCTCTCCTCCCCCATTCATTGGCCTTCTGAGTCATGTCCATCTGCCCATGGTGGAGTCCAGGCCAGTTGGCAGGATGGTGAAGACTGAGCTGGAGTGAACTGCCCTTCACTGGGTATGGGAACTGCAAGTTCGTGCTCTCTGCATCACAGACTACATTTCTAAAGCACTGTCACTTGGCCACTTAGGACTGCACACAAAAGTAAGAGGGACAAGGCTGTTTGTCCAGTCTGTTCAAGTCTGCACACACAGCAGAGAATACCAAGTATTCTGAGGACCAAAACACAGAACCTCTCCCAGCATAAATCCATCTGAAACCACACAAAACCAGAACAAGTATTCATGAAGTTAACCTAACAGGCCATTTGGTATAATACTGGATTACAGTCTTCCATTTTCATTTTCTTTTTAACGCTTTGTCTAATTTAATTTACTTCTGATTATTATCACTCTGCCTGACTAATTTGTATGCTTTGCTTTGTGCTCATTGAGTTTAATTAATTCAGTGAGAGCCCAGTCTTCTTTAGAATCTGAATAATTTTCATCTGTTAGATGCTTGTGTTGGAAAGAAAAAGCGAAAGGTCATGACACAATAGAACTTGACTGGCTGTAGCTGACTTCTATTGGCCTCTGTAATATCTGTTAATATATACACAACTCTTCCTGTGATAGTGTTAGTCTTTTCATTTTTTAAAGATATTCTTAGTCAGTTTAATAAACTGCACTTTAACAACTTGTCAGTAAAAAATATGTCAAAAAACTGCACCTCAAAAATAAGTAGCATTTGGAGTGGTGCTAAAGTAATCCATCCATTGTGAAACTAACAATACATGCATGTAATTCAATATATGTTTTCTTTTTTTCCTTCCTTCCTTCCTTCCTTCCTTCCTTCCTTCCTTCCTTCCTTCCTCCTTCCCTCCCTCCCTCCCTCCCTCCCCCCTTCCCTCCCTCTCTCTCTTTCTCTCTCTCTCTCTCTCTTTCTCTCTCTCTCTCTCTCTCTCTCTCTCTCTCTTTCTTTCTTTCCCTCCCTCCCTCCCTCCCTCCCTCCCTCCCTCCCTTCCTTCCTTCCTTCCTTCCTTCCTTCTTTCTTTTTTTTGAGACAGAGTCTCGCTCTGTCACCAGGCTGGAATGCATGCAGTGGCCCAATCTCGGCTCACTGCAACCTCTACCTTCCAAGTTCAGACGCTTCTCCTGCCTCAGCCTCCTGAGCAGCTGGAATTACAGGTGTGCACCATCACACCTGGATAATTTTTGTATTTTTAGTAGAGATGGGGGTTTCACCATGTTGGTCAAGACTGGTCTCAAACTCCTGACCTCGTGATCTGCCCACCTTGGCCTCCCAAAGTGCTGGGATTACAGGCCTGAGCCACCGTGCCCAGCCTCAATATGTATTTTCTAATTGTGCTAAGTTAGTTACAGGAGTTAGTTACAGGAGGAAGTTAAAATATTTTCAAATATATTTAAAGTATGCATTTAAAGTTCTGACTCAAAATGATAACTAATATATCGGTTTACTTCTTGACTCAGAATTTTATCAAACATCTCTGGTTTCAAAAGCTCATCATAGATGCCATTGTTGTTGTTAATACCAAAGAAAGTATGTCTGCAGTTGGCTTTTGCATATTTACACTCAGAACAGCTACTATTCAGTGAGAATGCACTATCTAAAGTTTTATTCTCTTATTAGCTAAGGATTTAACTGATTTGTTCTGATTCTACACCACCCTCAAGCAATAGAAATCTATTTGGAGAAGGCTGGTACCTTTTTTCAAATATCCCTAAATTATAATGGCACGTTTTCTGGTTGTATTTTGATAAGAAAATCATCTCCATCTTTCCAGACTACTGGAAGTGGCATTTGATCTTTCAGATCTTTCTTTTATAGAAAACAACATATTAAGCTTTGTCTTCTATTTTTACTAGAGAGTAATTAAAAAACATTTTTCCACTTAATTCTAAGGTTGTATAATCAGCTCTTTTCCAGGTTACAGGAAGGAAATTTGAAGTCTTTTCATAGTCAGCCAAGGGCTTTACTGTTTGGTTGAGCAGAGATTTCAAATACCGACTTCTTCTACCAATAAATATTAACCCAGAATTGTCTAAGTACACAGAGAATCCCAAGATGGTACTGAAATGAAATGCCAGTTTGTTCATTCTGAACCAGGACAAAACAATGACCTAATAGTCCACCAAGCCTTTTTAGCTCTTAGACCATTAGCTGTTAATCCCTTTAAGTGCCTCTGCTCACCTAAGGGTGTATTTATTTTTATTGACTCTAGTTGAATGTAAGAGCCCTGAGTATGCACCAAGGTCATGGGCAAGGACAGCGTGATCTGAATAGAATCTCCTATAAATCATAGGGGGAAAGCTGCCAGAGGGCTAGCGGGGATAGAATGAGCACACACACTTGCATGTAATCTGTTCATGCTGATAGCCTGAAATGCATGGACTCAAAACATGCGTTCAGGGTTATCTTTAACAGTGTACCAGTAATAGCTTTCCAGAAACGGCTTGTAGTTCTGCTGAAGCCTAAACTTTCCTCAGATGCCATTTGTATTGTTCGGCCACCGTGAAGGGGAACGACAGCCTACAAATGAACCTTCAGAGAAGATAATGCAGTAAAATTGCCTTCCCAGCCACCATAGTTGTGAAGGTGAAATCTTCATTTGGGGAATCTTTATTGCTCACATTGTAGGAAACAGAAAGAAACTTTGGGAATTAGACATGGAGACTTTACTCCACTACACTGTTTCTAAACACCAGACTGGAGAGGGGCAGTGTGATGCCATGCTAAGCACACAAGCCCTGGAGCTAGGCTGCTTGGCATCAGATGCCAGTCCTGCCACTTACGAGCTGTAAAACCTTACTGTATTTCCATTTCCTCAGCTGCAAAATAAAGATAATAACAATACCCTCTCTACAGGATTGTTGTGAAAATTAAATGAGTGAATATCTGTAAAGCTCTCACCACACTGTGTGGCATTCAGTAAAGTGCTTGAAAGCATTGCTGATGATTAGTGTTCGCTTTTGAGGTTGGGAGCCCAGCTTATCTTCGCACTTGTCCCTGCCTCCCACCTGTGCACTTTCACAGAGGAATTCTAGATGGTTGTGAGTGTTCACAATCTGAAAGATTAGAGAAAAAAGTTAAACAAATAAAATGTGAGATCGAATTTGAAATCGAGTGGCCTTAAAAAGAGAAGACATTTGAAAACATTACTATAAGAAGCTGCTACTGGAAATTTTAATTTTGAGCCACAGCTCCACCAGACCTCTTTAAGGAAGTCAGTAAGAATAGCTGCCCCCTTGTATTTTAAGAGGAGAATTTTTAGCCTAAAGGTTGATTTTACAGGCTAGAAGAAAGATAAATGCTAGAACTCTGATCCGGTCAGGAAAAATTCGTTCTTAAGGAAAAAATAAAAGCTGCCCCAGAATGATCACGAAAGTGTAAAGATCCAGTCAGCTATGACAGGCCCAATAACAGGAGTTTCAATAAAACACAATGCTCTTCCTTAGATTTCAGTCCAGGAACTCTAATGCTATCCTTTTCCAAACGATAAAAGATAGATTAATTGGAAAATAGTTTGCATGTCTAGTAAGCCATGTATTTTGTGCCTAGTGAAGTTAAATAGGATAATATAACACCCCCATAAAATCTCTTTTTCTAGAATGTCAGCCTGAGTCTCTGCTAATGAGGCTGTAATTTTGTCACATTTGCCTTTTATATACAACATCGCTGCGGATAAATAAGGAAAAAGGAAAACTAATTCTCAGCACACAGAGGAATAGATTTAGGCAGATACAAAGACCTCTGGGTTAGTTCTGTCTTTTTTTTTCCTCTCCACTCCCTTTACTTTTTTGTCCATTTGCTAATTTGTCTAAATCTGGGACAATATCAAGATCTGAAGATTATTGAGAGTCTAGACTTTTTTTTTTTTTTTAAATCCTTTTGGTCTTTAAAACTGTATCCACCAAGGACTTATAAATTAAGTTCTGATGTTTTAATTAACCATGACATCATGTATTTCAGTTATTCTTTTAATTACTCCTATGTCTACACAGGTACATGTGAGTTTCTTAGCAGAGGCATTATAAACATTTGCATGATTTAAGTTGAAACCATCTGTGATCTTATTCTTTGATTTTTGTAATTGATAAAATGTAGACTTGCCTGAAACATGGTCAAAGGGAAAAAGAAAGACTAATATGGAGCTAATGAAATATAAGACTCTAAGGAATTGTTTCATGGTAGGTGCTAACTAATAAGGGCAGTTAAGAATAAATATCCCCCGGGGGAATCATTCATGTCTCTACAAGCCCTTTAAAGAATAGTTTGTCTAAACCTGCTATATTTTTCTTCCACAGTAAATATGTTTAAAATGTATTTTAATAAAGAAAACAAATTTTAAATTAAAAGGTAAGTCCCTAGTAGTTAAAATGACCTAAAGCTAATCCTCCAGTTATAACTCCTGGGTAATGCCTATTTATGTCTAGATATTCTCATTAGAAGGAGTTGTGTTCTGTGTCCTTCTTTTCCAACCAGTCCTGTAGTTTATTTGCTGAGCAAGACAATGAATTTATTTCCTTTCCCCCAAATCCGGATTTCTGGGGCTTCTGACACTACAGTAGCCATAGCTCTTTGATAAGATTTCATCTAAACCCTGTGCCATTGAAACTTAAAACATGATTTCTTCTCCTAAACCAATTGCCTCCAATTTTAGCAGGCACTAATTTTGAGTTAGCTATGTTCGATTGAGTAGCTCAGACATGGCTCTATTGTAATATCTCACAGTTTTTTCTTAAGTGTAAGACAATTGACCAGCCTCACCTTCTCATTTCTTACGTTACAGTCACTGCTTTTGTTTTCTAGGTTATCCACCATAGAACCTGTTTTCTAAACTGCTGTAAAATTAAACACTGTTTTGGTTGGGATGACTGACAAGGCATTGATTTAATTCAGTGCACAAGACACAGAGTCCAATTTTGGTACAGCATACCAGGTGTTTCATGATGAACAGTTTGTGCACTGAATTAAATCAATGCCCTGGATGTGGTCCAAGCTGTTCGTTCCTCTTATTAAAGTGCTAAAGTCATAGTAATAACAAATCAATGTTTTGGTGCTGACAAAATCTTTTAAACAGTTGGTAAAATCATGGTTCCAAGCTACTTATATTGAGTTTAAATATGAAGCACTGGATTATTCAGTAACTAATATTTCTGGGATTACTCAGTAACTAAAATATGGTTCCCAGCTACATATATTGAGTTTACATATGAAGAACTGGGATTTTTCAGTAACTAATTATTCAGTAACTAAATAATATTATTTGGTTACTAATATTCAGTAGCACTAATACAACTAATGTGTCTGAAGGCTGAACTAATTTGCACTTTTAAGTACTAGAAAAGAGTCACAGTATAAAATGTGCAAGGGGGTGTTGTGACTCGTAACAGCGTGACATACTCTCACGTGGCTGCAAAGACATCTTGAGCCTCCTTGTCATGCTTCAGGCCCCCAGGCCACGTCCCTCATGATTCCCAGGCCACGTCCCTAATGATTCCCAGGCTCACAGTTGGGTGTTCTATATCTGAAAATGAGTAGACTTGACCTGGTGCTGTTTTTGGGGTATTGCTACCTTGAGAGAATGATGTCAGATGCCTCAGAAGTTTTGAAACGGAGAGATCACTGTTTGTGATCTCACTTGGAACCATGTAAAACATTTCCTTTAGGGATGATGTCTTCAGTGCTCAAGGGGGTGAGAACAGAGCAATTCTGTGAATATGCCTGTCTCTCCTCCAACAGCAACAGCGAAGGTGGGAAGGGCCACAGTACACTTAGAAAAAGGCCTCGCAGCAATTCAGGAGCCAGTCTGACTCCTGGGGACTCTGTGAAGGATCCTGTTCAGTTCTCCTGTGCACCCCAGGCTAGCTACTTCTAACTACGTATTTATCAGGGGGATGTTTGTCATTCTAAAGTACTGTAATATCTGCACTTAACAGAAGCCAAAGTTACACTAATTTCTGTTTAGCTTCCTCTCCAGTCCCAGCAACCCCTATCCTACAGCTGGAGGAATGTTGTACCCACAACAACAGTGCTACGTTGTCCTGGAAACAGCCACCTCTGTCCACGGTGCCCGCCGATGGATACATTCTGGAGCTGGATGACGGCAACGGTGGTCAGTTCCGGGTCAGTAGAGAGCCCACTACTTACTTCTTAACCCAAACCGGTGACTCTCTCAAAGGTCCTGTCAAGGAGTCTTAGGGCTGGCTTCCCCTCTCTCCCGGTGACAGGCCATCCTGGCAAGGCCTGCCTGCCCTTAACGGAAACCTGCTTTTTCCCTGTACCATGAAGGTGGATGGAGCAGTCTCTGAAACTGCTCTACCCTTCTTAAGAGACAAGACATGCTGTACTAGAGTCAGACTGCCTGCATTCAAGTTGGTCTTCTCCACCTTAGCTGTGTGGACAGTGCCTAATTATCACCCCTTTGAGTCTTCGGGTCCTCATTTATTAATGAGAGGGATGATAACAATGGTGTGAATCTCATGCCTTGTTGCTAAGAGTCCATTAGATAATCCATACAAAATTCTTAGCATGCAGCCTAGAACATGGCCAGCGTGCATTATTAGCTATTATTATTACCATCATTGCCTGTTGCTAATAATATAATTAACCATTGTCCAAGATTTATTTCTGTAATCCACAGCTTCTAATGTCTTTGATTGGCATTCCTGTTAATGGACATGATCTCCTGTTGTAGCTGCCCTAGTCTAAGAAGTCTTTCTAGCAAAGGTTTCCCCAGTTCTATGGTTTTTTTCTGGACCTTTCACCAGATAGAACTGGTGCCAGAAGATTGTTACCTCCCCAAGGCAAGGGAGCCCTAACCCTATTGAGAAGCTCATGCTGCCCCCTGAAGGTAGGACAGGATGGCCTCCTGGTAAGACATGGCCGTGGTACCTCCCATGTGCCACTGCCTGTTGGCATGTGTCTGCTTCTCTCTCGTACAGAACTTCATTCTCAGCCATCCTCTCCCTGCCACCCTACTTTCCATCCACTCTACCCTCGTTTTGCCTGGGAGTTCTGGGATGCTTGGAGCTTCCCAAGGGAGCAGCCCTTCCAGGGACTGAGGCCAGTTCCTTCACTGATGAAGAGGAGACCACTGTCTAAAAAAATTTCGGGCCCGTGAAGATGAAGCTGTTTTCTGGCCATCAATGGCCAAACCTGGGCCACTAGCTTTCAAGAGCAAAGACTCTCAAGGCCCCCTTTTCCTGAATGTGTTTTTGATCCCCCAGTAGGTTTAAGTACTTGAGAGTGGGGACTGTGTCTTCTACAATTCTCCTTAAGAACAAAGGTTCTCTCTTTTGATAGAAAAGCCTTATTTACATATATGTTGATTTATTGGCATGATAAAATCTAATTTCTTTCTTTCTAAGATTAGGGCCTCAGGTTCCATTTCATGTCTTTTGCTCTGTGTGTGTGTGTGTGTGTGTGTGTGTGTGTGTGTGTGTGTGTATGAAATCCTATTTGTCAGTTTCTCATTCCTGACTTTGCCTTTTCAGTTCCTGTGTCATTTTCAGGGCCTTTCTTTTCCATTTATTATCTTATTTTTCTCCTGGGAAAGAAACTCTCCTGTTTTTCCGAATTCTTTAGATAAATTAATTCTCTTATTTTGTCTTGACTTTTTCCTTGACTCAAAGTGCAAGTCCTCCCCCAGCAGCACTGGCTTCACCTGGGAACTTGTTAAAAATGCAAAATCCCAGACTCCACCCCAGACAGCTGCTGGATCAGCAACTGCATTTTTACAATATCCTCCGGTGATTCATGCGCATGTAAAGTTTGAGAAGCACTGAATGAGAGCACATAAGATTACAATTTTTGTTATTCCAGCAGGAGTAATGAACTGATGGGCGATCCAAGACCCCAGTCTTCTTGGTATCCTACCAGAGAGTTGTCATTTTAAGGCTGTGCTTTGAATGCAAATTATTTTTATTCATTACGTCAGCATAATTTTGCCATGTGTACAGCTGAAGAGGGTGGCAAATGCCTAACCTATGCTAAAGATGCATTATGCTAGGATTTATTTTAAGCCTTTGAAATGTCATTCTTCCTCCTTTCCCTGTTTCCTCCCCCTTCCCTCTGTACAGTGATGAAAGCCTGTCCCCCTGTGGCTTGGCATGTAATCTTTGTGACAGTCCCTGAAGTTTTCAGCCGAGTTCTAAACACAGGATAGAGACTACCTTCCTGTTTTCATGGTTTCAAACATGTTTTTTACAAATGATATTGATGGATAAGGAACTTAGTAGGGGTCATATACTGTATCAATGCCAAGTTAATAGATGTAATCTGAACTATAAACATTCAGTTTTATTTTTTTAAGCCCTCACTGCTAATAACTACCATTCATTAGGCCGCCTGGCCCATGCTGAACACAAGGCATAATGCTAATCTGCATATACAACATTAAGTAATCCTCACACCAACCGCATATGGTGGATATTATTATCCCATTTTACAGATTAGGAAACTGAAGCTAAAAAGGCAAATTAAATGGCCCAATATCTGGCAGGATTCAAATCCAGATCAGAATGAGCCCAGGGCTCTTGCTCCTAGCCACTGAGCGGCACTGCCTGCCTCATCCCTCGCAAGGGTACATGCTAAGTGCATTCCTGTTGTTTGCTGACTCTCAGGAGGTGTATGTGGGGAAGGAGACAATGTGCACCGTGGATGGCCTTCACTTCAACAGCACATACAACGCTCGCGTCAAGGCCTTCAACAAAACAGGAGTCAGCCCGTACAGCAAGACCCTGGTCCTCCAAACGTCCGAGGGTAAGGCCCTTCAGCAGTATCCCTCAGAGCGAGAACTGCGTGGCATCTAAAGTGGCTGGCAAGCCCGGAGGTAACCCCACCACTGCCCACATTCCTGAAGTGTTTCCATGACTTGCTCTGCATTCTGCACAGAGCCGCTGTTCCTCTCCTGCCTTTAGAGAGCCTATGGTATGCGGATGTGATCAAACCAAAGATTCCACATCTGCAATTCAAATGGCTTGGGCCGGCGGCTTCCTTTGATAACACTCTAAATAAGCTGCAGTTGAAGAAGCTGAGAAATGAAGGCCTGAATGTGCCCCTGGTGTGTAAGACAAATGTATCTAGGCTCTAGAGCAGGCTCCCATTCTCCACCAATACACATCATGTGCCAGTTTTGCCCAGATGATTCTAGATTGCTCTGTAGTACTTGCTTGTTCTAAGGGTGGGACCTAGGTTCTTTCCAGCTGCAGATTTGTATGACTGAATGTGTTTCAAATGAGTGTGGGGCGCTAGCGCTGTTCAGAGAGGGCCTGTTGGCCGCTCCTGGCTTACCCACTCAAACCGCCTCTGTTTCATACCCAAAGCTGAGGTGGTCAGCACGAGGATTGAGACTTCCCATGGGCACCAAACAGGAAGAGACCAGCAACTTTGCACTACCCACCATTTTCATCTTTGCCAGTCCCTCAGTCTTGGCCCGGCTGCCTAGGGCCACTGTATAGGTTCATCTCTGGAGAACTTTTTCTTCTTAGCTATACTTCAAATATTTTGGTCATCAAAGACAAGTCATGTGTCTCAGATGAGAGGCTTGACTTTGATGGCCAGATATAACCTCTGAGGCTTTTCACATTTTCATTTTAAGAGCAAGCAAGACACATGAAATTAAACCTACAAAGAGGTATTTGTGGCTGCTGCCAAAGCATTCTGACACCTTGGAGTGTCATTTAATCAGAGAATTCACCCCCCCACCTCACCAGGATGCTCTGTACCTTCCCTCTGCAGAATTAATTATGTTGATTTTGTTCAAGACTTTAGTTAAAAGAACTATGGTGGTATATTTTTCCCCACTTCGCACAAACCTCAGCATATGCTAGTCACCCTAAAATGCTTCACATGGTTAAAAACAAGCACAATTTTGAATCCCACAGCAAGGATGAATGGCCCCTAGCTGTTAAAACAGTGCTTTGGGGAGCAGTTGTCAGTTTATGAGTGATGCTACTCCAAGAGAAGGGTATGCTAAGGGAAAATGCCCACATGACCTATTCCCATTTGGAGTACAGTGCTGTGGTAGCTAGAGCTTCCCCCGGAATTATCATTTTAGCAGCTTCTCTCTGGGACGGCCTATCAGTTTGAGAGCAGTTGCCTTTTTCCTCAGAATACCATTGTAACTGCTAAAGCCCTCCAGGAGTCTTTCCTAGATGCAATGCAGAAGGCCCTTGCAGGTGATGGCCTCATTTCCCATGTATGTACAAGGTGGTTTGATTGAAGAGTGAAATGCATGCCTGCAGAGCAGAGAGAAATTTGCAGCAATGTTGCTAATATGTGTTACCAGGTCTGCGGAAAAGCTATTTCTATTCATAATACATCATGGGAATCATACTATTCTGCTAAAAATCAGTTATCAGCATAACAGCCTGAGCACTTATGTCTCTCGTTTCATCCTGCAGGAGGATGTAGCGCCTCAGTTTCTTTTAATGTTCATAAGATTATGGTGTCTAATTTAATAAATTACAGGATTGGAACTGCGATCCTTGGTACCACAATCACAGAACTGGGGGTCATTTTCTAGATGAAACAAACGGAACACGTTCTCTTCCAACAAAGAAACTGTACTGTAGAAATTAATTTCCTCCATGAATTTTATATATTGTGTACAAATATAAGGTATGTATCTGAATACAAAGAAAAGCCTATCACCATGTAGATATCAGTATTCTCTGTTACTGCACAGAAGTAATTTTCTCATGATGAAATAAAGTTCACACACATACTTTCTCCATAACTTTGGTTTGTTCTATTTGTTTCTCCCTTATTCTAATTCATTCAGTGAGACAAGATTTAGAAAGCAAGAAAAAATATAGTGAATAGCTTATTTAAAAAAAAAAAGATTTGATCGATCTGTAACAATAGAGAAATCCTATAGGATTAAATACTTACCTCCTTTTTTGTTTGTTTTTTAGAGATCAGTGATAAAAATGCTATTAACAGAGTTTTGGTACATTTACTGAACTTATATTTTATTAATCTTATTTCCTACAGTTTCCAGAAAGGTTTGCTTTAGTGATTTTTTTTTTCTTTGCTGGTATTGGGGGTGGTAGGGTGGTGCATTCTGGCTTTCTAGTTTAACAGTATCTTTCACGTTCTTCTTAGCAAGAGTTAACCCCTTTTCAAACTTCCAAACAAAAATTCTGTATCACAGAAAGGTAAAATGTCGTATGCAATAACAAGTCTCACTTGTAATCACATGCATTTAGCCTGAGGTTTAAATTGCTCATCATTTATACTCTGTGCTCCGTGAGCTTTCACAAAACCTTCTGCTGATCTAAAGGTAACATTATGCAGGGGAGATCAAACGCCTACATTATGAATTCTGATTGGTTTTTTCTTCGAAAGAAAATTTATCTATTTATTAGGCAGTGCTTGATACGTGACTACTCTATGCTAGGCTGTGGGTATAGAGTGTTGAACAGACATTATCCCTGCTGTCCTGGAGTTTACAAGCTAGAAAAAGAGACAAGCCTTAGAGAAATAAACATATAAATAGTTCCATTCTTACACATTGTGATAAACACTGAAAAAAGGGAAAACGGATTTGCAGGAAGTTAAAATGTTTATAGGAGAATCAGGAAAACAATGAAAATTAAAGAATGTGCTATTAAGAGAAAAGGAAAGGAGCCAGGGGCTGTAGCTCATGCCCCTAACCCAGCTACTTGGGAGGTTGAAGCAGGAGGATACTATGAGCCCAGGAGTTTGAATCCCACCTGGGCAACATAGTGAGACCCCATCTTTAAAAAAGAGAGAGAGAGAAAAGGAAAGGAGAATGCATTATTATATGAGTTCAAGTTTGGTTAGTTCTCTGAAAGCAAAGTCTCTGGAGATGTATCAAAGACATCCATGGAAACAATGCCAGTTGCACATCTAAACCAAATTATACTGACTTAAGATGAAATATAACTGTAAACAATTAAGAATTGTAATGAAATTTTAAAATAAGGCCCCCAAGCCCCAAAATTTGGCCATGCATATCTTTAAATTAATTCATCTAATAACCATCATGGCTGTGACAGTCTTTGAAACCACCTGCAAAAGAGTATCTGTTGAAAACATTATATAACAAGGCCATCTTAATACAGAATTCTAAGGTTCATGCCATCTGTGAGACAGGCTATTCTCCTGTTTAAAAAAACTGTACACGTTTGGGAACAGAATAGGAAATTTTCTGTTTATTTTTCTCTTCTTCCTCTCTTCCTATCTAAATAGACTCTGCCTACAAAGTCTATTTAGGTAGAGGGTACACATCTGACTTTGTAAGACATATTTAGTCTATTTAGATAGACTTTGTGGCTACAAAGCCAGACATGTAGCATCTTCCAATGTCTTTCTGACCTTTCCACCCTCCTTTATTTTTGAGGCAAAGTCACACTCTGTCACTCAGACTGCAGTACAGTGGCACAATCATAGCTAACTGCAGCCTCCTGCTCCTGGGCTCAAGGGTTCCTCCCACCTCAGCCTTCTGAATAGCTAGGACTACAGGCATGTGCCACCATGCCCAACTGTTATTTTAAAATTTTTTTAGAGGTAGGGTTTTGCTGTGTTGCCCAAGTTAGTCTCAAACTCCTGGGCTCAAGCGATCCTCCTGCCTTGGCCTCCCAAAGTAGTGGGATGACAGGCATGAGCCACCATGTCCTGCTCTTACCTGCCTTTGATAAGGACCCTTGTGCCCACCTGGATAAACCAGTATAATCCCCCATCTCAAGATGCTTAATTTAATCACCTCTGCAGTGTCCATTTTGCCATGGATAATAACATAATCACAGGTTCTGTGGATTTGGATGTGGACATTTTTAGATGGCCCATTTTTCTGAGTACTACATATGAGGAAGGTATTATTATTGTCATATTTCTCTACTTATGGGAAACTGAGCTGCTGAGAGGTTAAGTATAATATGTCGAATCAAGGACTTTAAACCTCCAATGCCCAGCACAGTCCGCTATGGTGCTAACATTAGAAAAGTGCTATTTGCACTCAACCAAATGTAAAGAAAGAGAGATAAAACTATCCAAAGTCAATCTTCAAGATATCTGAAAACATCTTGTCAAAATGTAGCTGCCTCTTGTGCTTAGCCAGAAATCCCAGCCAAAAACTTTACTTCTTGCAGTCATGTTAGGGTGAATCACCTGAGGTCAGGAGTTTGAGACCAGCTTGACCAACCTGGAGAAACCTGGTCACTACTAAAAATACAAAATTAGCCAGGTGTGGTGGTGTGCACCTGTAATCCCAGCTACTCAGGAGGCCGAGGCAGGAGAATTGCTTGAACCTGGGAGGCGGAGGTTGCAGTGAGCCAAGAACATGGCATCGCACTTCAGCCTGGGTGACAAGAGTGAAATTCTGTATCAAAAAAAAAAAAAAAAGTTTTATTGAAAAGAGTAGCATTCCTGCTTTAAGAAGATGTGGGAGTGGCCATCATTTCCCATATAATATCCAAGCTCTTTATCAGATCCTATGCCTATTTTCATGGCTTTGCAGAAATTTCCTCCAGCTCCCTCCCATGCCAGGTAAGCAGCTCACCTAGAGAGGTCCTTCCCCCACTAGTACCAGTTGACGCTCTTAGCTGGCAGTGACAAGATTTGCCCAGGAAGGAAAGGGAACGTCAGAGCTACACCTCTGAGGCCTTTGAAAGTTACTACCATATGAGGTCTGGCACTCAGAGCCCTGCTTGGGCTGACATCACAGAGCCATTTATTCACAGAAGCTTTCCAGCCCTCCCTATCCCAACTGGGAGGAAAAGTGGGGTGAAGGTAGT